CCTTATATTTTACACTGATAATTTTTTAAAATGTGAAAGTTTGACTTGGAGTTAAAAACAATAGRAATTAATAAGTCAATAAAAATAGATATGAATGTGTGTGAGTGTTGCTTTTAMACAGCATTAAAAAATATTTAAGTGACATTTGCACCTCATTATTGTCCCAGATTGTGCCCCACTAAAGCACGCTGAAGTCCTTTGTTTGTGGCCTTTAACTAAATTGTTTGTGAATTTAATGRAGGTGTGTGATGTTTTCTTGTAAAAAATCCTATTCTCATCAAGTACAGATGAGGAAAGGTTCACTGATAATATAATTATTAGGTGATTTTTATGGGTGTGTTTAAAATTGTAGTATGTAAAAWACTACATTGTGTGTTGTGTTGAGCTTCTTCAGACTGCTTCATGCACAATTCCAATGAAGTTGAGACGTTGTGTAAAACATAAATAAAAACAGATTGAGGATTTGCAAATTATTTTCAATCAACTGACTACACTATAAAGACAAGATYTGTAATGTTCAAACAGAAAAACTTTATTGATTTTTTTTTCAAACATTCACTTATTCTGAATTTGATGCCTGCAATATGTTCCAAAAAAGCAGGGACAGGGGCGACAAAAGACAGGGTAAAAAGCATTTGTTTGGAGCATTCCACGGGTGAACAGGTTAATTAGAAACCGGTGAGTTTCATGATTGAGAATAAAGGGAGCATCCCAGAAAGACAGGGTGAGGTTCACCACTTTGTGAACAACTGCGTGTGCAAATAGTCCAACATTATAAGAATTTCTCAACGTATAGCAAAGAATTTAGGGATGCCCTCATCTACAGTCCATGTTATCAAAATATTCAGAGAATCTGGACAAATCTCTGCAAGTAAGCAGCAATTCCGAAAACCAACACTGAACACCTGTGACCTTTGAGGTGACACTGCATCACAAACCAACATCATTCTGTAATGGATATCATCACATGGGCTGCAGACATCAAAATCAAAATGAAAGAATATTTGCAAAAAACAATGTTTATTCATTTAAACATTCAATATCTTGTTTTTGRAGTGRATTCAATTGTATTTAGATTGAAAAGGATTTGCAAATCATCATATCCTGTTTTTATTTGTTTTACAAAATATCCCAACTTCKCTGGAATWGGAGTTGTYCTAATAATAAAGACATCATAAAAATAATTTCACTCTTAATAAAAGATCTGATGTTGCTGTTTGAACTCAAACCTACAATAATTCAGATCTTTTGAAGTGAGTTTTTGTGAATAAGTTGTGAGCAAGTGGTATCTTACCTGTTTTAGGTAGCTATCTAAACAAACTGATTATGGAGAGAAAAAGATTCTCTCTGACCAGACTGACAAGCAAATGGCTAGTCTATAAGATCAAGTCTAAAGTGGGTTACTGAAATTTCATTGTGGTTTTTAAGAACTCTGTTTTCTGAACTCTTAGCATCAGTTTCACAGTAGAATTCTGTGCTTATTTGAAAGTGCAAACAGCAGCATTTCATGGGCAATCAATACTCAAGGAGATACCTGCAACAGGTAAGACATTGACTGTTCATAAACTTTCTGCAGATTACTTAAACTTTCTGTAGATTACTACATCACTATTCATTGTTTTTTTTTTATTCTGTAAATGTTTCCATCAAGACTCATTTCAGGAGGTGGAACGGCACCCTATCATCTTTCCTGGATGAAGCTCCTCCATCCCTTTTCCCACACCTCTCCCTCCCTCGCTGTGGGAAGCAGGATATTGATCATAACCAGCAGATTCAGTGTTGAGGCTGTGCTGCTTATCGGCACTGGATGTTTCTTGTGTTATCGTGTTTCAGAGCAGCTGTTTGGGGACTCAAATGATGGCTTTTAGAGCGACTGGATTCATTTCCTCTGTGGGATTGTAGTTTCCTTCCTCATATATYAGTTGTAGGTTTTAAACCCACAGGTTTTAAAATGCGCTTCTSCTTTTATGAGGGATGATTAACTTTAGTTTTAAACAAAATAATTAATGCTGCATGGAAATATTAGTGATAACCAGAAGTGATAAATTGTCAATTTTATGTTTAAATATTTTTAAGCATTTAATCATTAAGTATTTTCTCCACTTTGTATCTAACACAATTGCTTTTACCCAAATAACTTTAACACAAAAAAATAAAATCCCAATCTTCAGCTGGTTATAGACTGCCTCAGCTCAAACACTTATMAAAAAAGGACACATTCTACTTTCTGTTGATTTACAATAGGTTTATTTCATGCATTCATAGTTTGTTTCACACCAAAAGGTGTTTCAACAAAACCTATAAAAGATGTCCACAAAAAAATTACAGTTTAATAGAAATACTTTTTAGAGGGATAAAAGAAAAAAATGAGGTAAAGATTAAAA